CCAGCCTTCCTGTGGTTCTGGATGATGTCCGTTCCATCTTTTAGTTGTATTTTTGAAGTGGTTGTGCGAGGCAGCAATCTCCGGTTTTTACCTATGCCGCCATCTTGGTTTCTCCACAGTGCCTCTTTTTTAAAATTCATGATTCAGGATTCCTGGTGACTCCTTTCAGTCTGAATACTCCTCTTTTTCAGTTCTGTCAAGTTTTCTCAACCTGTTTATTTAATAATTTCTTCTCATTCTAAAGCTCCTATCAGCAAATATTCACATCTTAGATCAACACTCAGGATTTCATTTTCCGTGAGCTCTTTGACTGGTTTTATTTGTTTGTTTGTTTGTTTGTTTGTTTATTTATTTATAGATATATTTTTATTGATCTCAGAGAGGAAAGGAGAGGGAGAGAGAGATAGAAACATCAATGATGAGAGAGAATCATCAATCTGCTGCCTCCCACACGTCCCCCACTGGGGATCGAGCCCGCAACCCGGGCATGTGCCCTGAATGGGAATCGAACTGTCACCTCCGAGTTCATAGGTCGATGCTGAGCCACGCCGGCTGGGCTGTTTATTTATTTTTTAATAGAATCCTCTTCCTGTTTTGTGAATACAGTATTATCTGATGTCTCCGAATTCTGGGAGCCAAGGAGGGGAAGGAGGCTGGGGTCCCAAAACTCACTGCAGATTTTCACTAATCTCCCTGCATTAAGCCTCACCTACTCCCACCTTCCACTGTGCTAGTGTTCCCAACTTTGGAGTCACTATACTTCAATTTCTCCAGAAGGCTGGTAACCTTCAGCATCTGCTAGGGATGCAGGTGGGGGCGGTAAGAGTCACCTTGCTGTGCGGTGAAGGTCTGGGGTATTACAGCTTTGAGGACAGACTTTCGATTTATCCCTGTGTTCAGCCCTGTGATTAGCCCCTTTTTCCTGTGGTCCCTGGTCCCTTTGAGTTCTTAGCTTTGCTGGTATCCTTGGGGTCATGGCTGGCTCCTTAGGCATGCCCTCTTCAGGCATTAAGGGGATGTCTTCCTCCTCTCTGCTGGGTCAGTTACTGAAACTCTACTCATCTTCCATCCAAACACATGTTGCTGTCCCTCCTCTGCTGCTGTCTTCTCTTCCATTATTTTGGTAATGATGTGCGCACTGCCCCTCCTTCCTCTAACACCTTCAGGCGCAAAGCCCACGCTGAGGCTCTGTGCTGCCACCCGACACACCAGGGCCTGGCAGGGTGTCCCGGGGCAGGCAGCTTGGTCATCAGCCCTCCCATTCCAGTGCACTTCAGTGCGTCTTTAGGGAGCACCTACAGGCCAGGCTTGGTGCCAGGGCCTGGGGGAGAGATCAGGAAAGACGCTGGAGCAGGGTCTTACTTCATGGACTCCCCAGAATCTAGGCAACAACAGTGAAAACACAATACTGTAGGAGAGCAGAGGAAGGAGGGACCCAGACGGGCTTCTGGAAGAGATTTCTGTCCGGAGATGTGAGGGGTGAGAAGGGGCTGTGGAGAGAAGGCGCTGATAGGAGCAGTGCAGACAAGGGAGCACACGGTGAGCACAGGGAGAGTAGCCCCTGAGGAAGTGGCGGTATGTGCTCCACTGGGCCCAGCTACAAAGGGCATGTGCATGGCGGACGCAGCACCTTGGCCAGGTGTCCTTGTGCAGGGCTGTGAGGGTGGTGGAGACGGTGCTGGTGCCGTGCTTGGCTGGGCAGGGGCAACCTCAGGCATCTGAGCTGAGTTGGGGGCCGCAGTCAGCAGGGAGGGCAGGCCTCCATCTCCTCATTCCTAGCCCAGAACTTCTTTCCATCCATGGGTCCCGGGGAGCCTGGTGGCATGTCCTGGCAGCTCCTCTCCAGTCCTGGGCCTCCTTGTTTTTTGTCCTGAAAGCCCCCATGTACCCCCAGGGATGGGGGAGGGGAGGCAGGGGCTTCTGGCACCGGCTGTGCTTCCCTTTCTGGCTCATGTCAGTGAGGCCTGCAGTGTCCCTCTGCTGGCTCGGTGGCCCAGTGCTCCACCGGTGGACCTGCCCCTAATAAGCAGATCCTCGCTCTCCCTCCCTTCCCATCCTCCTTTCTCCCCAAGGGCATCAGGGCTGGGCTCTGGGGCAGCCCTCACACAGCTTCTTCCCTCCCTGGACCTCCGTTTGCAAAGCCACACCTGCCTCTGGCCTCTATAGACACAGGAACGAGGGGACAGGTGATGACATTTCAGCTCAGGATTTGGGCAAACCTCAGCAATCTGGGATGAAGGACAGTCCTGTTCCTGGTCCTGGCTGGCCCTGCTCAAGGCTCACTTCTGTGGCTTCTGAGAGGCCCAGGTGGTTCTTCATCTCAGTCTGGACAGTGGCCTCAGCTCCCAGGCGCTGGCCCTGCTCTGATGTCCTTCTGCAGGCGTGAGGGTCAGAAGCCTGTGCCTGTGTCCTGATACCTGCGGGCCTGTCCTGATTGCACGGACAGCACTGGGCACCTGCGTGCCAGCTTGTTATGTAACCTGCCCTCCAGTTACAGCATCTTACCAGTGGGCATACCCTGGTAGATGGACGGTTTGTTCGCACCCGATGGGCCTTAGTTTGGTTGTCTGTTAGTGAGGGTTGGTATCTCCTCCCAAGACTGTTAACTTGTTTTTTTTAATCCTTACCTGAGGATATATGTGTGTGTGTTTTTAAAGTGACTTTAGAGAGAGAGGAAGGGAAAGAGAGAAAAAGAGGGGGAGGGGGGAGAAACATGGATATGAGAGAAACAGTGATCAGTTGCCTTCCGTACGTGCCCGGACCAGAATCAAACCAGCAACCTAGGTATGTGTGCTGACCGGGAATTGAACCCACAACCTTTTGGTGTATGGGATGTCACTCCAACCAATTGAGCTACCCGGCCAGGGTGACTGTTAACTTGTTAAAAGTTTGCTATACCATGAATAATTAGTCCTGAGGATAAAAATAATTATAATTTACCCTTTGGGCTTAACAGGTGGAAATTTGGTATGCCAGGAACCCTAATAAGGACTGTAGCTATCAATTAAACAACGAAGCCATAGATGAGAGCGACAACGTAAGTACAGGCAGTGAGGTTTCTGGGGCACGGCCCTGCTGTGTGCACTTTATGTGCTGGGTGGTTTGACATGGATGCAGATGGGTGTGGTTAAATATGGAAGGACCCCCCCCCGCACCCCCCCTATGGTAATGAGCCAACACTCACTGCGTGCCAACCAAGTGCCAGGCACCATGCCAAGTACTAGCACTTGACATGTATTACCTCCATTAGTCTTTACAGGAACCCTGCTTGGTGGGTACCTATATTAACTCCATTTTGCAGGCAAGAAAACTGAGGCTCAGAGAGGTTGAATTACTTACTTGAGGTCACACAGCCAGTATGTGGCGGGACAGGGATCTGACACTGGGCCTGGGAGACCCAATGCCTGTCTTTCCCACTATCTGCAGGTGGCTTTGGAAGGGAAGGCGATACTCTGTGGAGCAGAGTAATGTACACAAACATGGGGCAGAGTGAAGGGGGCTGTGTCAGAAGAGCTTGTGAAGGTCTGGCAGCCCAGTTAAACCTGTGTGGTCTGAGGATCGGCTGGTTGTCCAATATGCAGAAGGTAGCTGGGCACCGAGGGGGAAACTGACACATGCCCTGGTTCCAGCTCCCAGCACGGGTGAGGCCACCACACAAGTGGGTGGCTAGCGGCCAGGCTGGTGGCTGAGCCGCGTGGAGCTAATGCTAAGGTAGGTGGGCGTTCATCGGCGAGAGAATCCTGAACATGCTGGTGATTGGAAAGGGTTCGTGGAGGAGGAGTACCGGTGGGCCCTGAGGGTAGATGGAACGTAGAATAGAGAGAGAGAGAGACCGAAGGCAGTGGGAGGATGTTCCCTGTAAGTCAGACAAAATCTGAGAAGTAGAGGAGAGAGAGAGAAACAGAGAGAGAGGCAGAGAGAGGTCAGAGAGGGAGGAATGGGGAGAAAAGATGGGATTAGAGAGATAGCTGGAGAGGAAGTTGGGAAGTGACCAGGCAGAGTGTGAGAATCTGTCCTGTAACTTCCGGGCCGAGAGATGCTGAGTGTGTCGAGTGGGGCAAGAGGAAGCTGCCGGGAGCGGTTGAGCAAGGGAGCAGCATGACAGCGCATGGTGGGGGAGCATTCTGGTGGGTGCCCGGTGAATGGGGCAGGAACCCCACGTGGAAGCTGCTGGAGCGGCCAGGAGGGGGGTGAGCAGGTCTCCGGAGCCGTTGCCGGCTTCTGCGTGGTGGTGCTTGTCTCTCATCCCATGTTCCTCAGGGGCTGGGAACCAGCCACCTTTATTAAGTGCTTGCTCCGCACCCAGCAGAACGTAGCACCCGCTCGGAGGCCCCGTGCAGGATGGACTTCTGCCTGTAACCGACCAAGGCAGCTGGGACCTACGAGATCCTGCAAGGCTCCTCTGGCAGAGAGGAAAGGGGTCAGGGTGTCTGGGCTTTGCTGAAAATAGCAGAGAAAATACCGAGTGAAAATACTTGTGCCCCACATCTTCTCTGGGTGTCGATAGGTTTGTCAGTAGCTGGTGAAAAGGAAGGCTTGGCTGACCTTCACTCCCTGACCCTGACCCCTGGCCTCAAGCTTCTGGGATACTGATCAGCGCCCTGCCCCTGGGGGCTGGCCCTTCCAGTCAGCTCAGAACAGGCAGGTGATCAGTACTAGTTGGAGCCTTTGCATAACGTGCTGGGTGTTGTGCTGGAGGCTGTGGCTGCGTCTCTGGGCTGGGTCATTGCTGTGGCCTCCTGGTGGTCTCCCACGCTCCCTGGGCCCCTCTGGGACCCAGACAGCAGTCAGAGCCGTCTATGAAAACAGACATCGCTTGTTCCTCTGATCCAGGGCTTCTCAGCCTCCGCATAATTGGCTTCTGGGGCCGGATAATTCTTCGTTGTGGGGCAGTCCAGTGCGCTGTAGGGTGTTTGGCTGGCTGTCCTGTCTGCCGGAACAGTCTCTCCTACCGGGTATCTGCATGGATCACTCCCTCCTTCAAGTATTTTCTCCAATGTCCCCTCAAGGAGAACTACCCTCACCACCTCACCATTGTCAGGGCCTAAACATCATCCTATTTAAGACTCTGTCAGGGGAAAATAGTCTTTTCAAGTAGCCACTAGGGCCAGAAGCAGGACAAGAGGTGGAATCTTAGGGGGCCAGGGTGGAAGGGGATTCCAGGTACCAGAGGTGCTTCAGGGGGGTGGAGGGAATGCAGCCCAGTGTGTCCCTCTTCCCTCTTCCACCTCAGCTCCAGCCTGGCCTTTCTCTTCATCCCTCTTCCCCCTGCAAGAAGCGGTGGCCCTGGCCATGTCATCATGTTCCGTGTCCCCTTCATGTTCCCCATCCTTCACCTTCTCCTTTTGTTACAATATTTTAAAAATAAAAATTCCATCCGCACTGCCCGTGCACACCCTGTTCTACTTTCTCATGTGTCCTGACGCACCCAGTCTTCTCGGCTATCAGAGAATTCACGTACTTATTATTTTTATTACTGACCGTCTGTTGGCACTAGCATTGAGCTCTATGAAAGCAGAGATTTTTTTAAATCTTTTTTGTTCACCGATGTGTTTTTAATTACCTAGATCAGTACCCAGCACATAATGGCTGCTCAATAAGTATACGTTGAACAAATGAATTTTCCTTAATCTTTGCAATATCCTTGAAAATAAGTATTCATATCCCCACATTGCAAAGGAGGAAATGGAGGCTCAAAAAGATTAAGTAAGTTGCCCCAGATTGCATGGCCAGCACGTGGGGAATCTGGAATTCAAATCCAGGTGTGACTCCGCGGCCCATGCCTGTGTGGGGAACTCGTGGCTGCAGCTGTGGGCCAAGCTGCAGAGCCAGGGGAACGTTCCTTCTCCTTTCGTGTATCCATAGAATGGGGGTAGCTGCACCCCACATAGACTGGCATAGGTACATAGTACCTGGGAGTAACCATGGCAACAGAATTAATGGTAAGGAATAATGGGATTGGCCCAAACGATAAGTTAGGAAGATCTTTAAAATGTTAGTTTATGGAAGCAGCCTTTGCCTTGCAGAAGGATCCCCTTCAGGCTCCGTTTAATTACCGTCTGGAGCTGTTTTAAATAGGCTCCGTCTTCGCTGCCTTCAGAGGCTTGGAGAAGCAGCTTGGAAGGAGGCAGAGGGGAAGGGGAGCAAGCAAACTGGGGGTGGGGCCTGGGCAGTCAGCGCCTCCATCTGCGGTCTGGGGTCTGGTGCCGGGGACATGCCCTGCTCTGCCCCTAGGAGGCAGGGCTTCTCCTTCCGAGGCTTGTTAGGGGCCCGCCTGCCCGCCCACCCTCTGCCCCTCCCTTGGTTTCAACCTTCAACCTATTACACGGGGAGGTGCAGGTGGCAGCTCAGCTCAGACTCAGGCCATTTCTGAAACCAGCAAACGTCTGCATTGTTCCAGCAACCTCTCACCAAGACAGCTTCCACCGCCCCCCCCCCCCCCCCCCTGTGCCCCCCCTCCTACGCGCGCGCACACACACACACACACACACACACACTCTC